GCCGGGAGAAGAAGACGTATCGCTCAGAGAAGTAGTTCCATACGAACACTTTGCATGTCTCCCATTGATTTCAATCTTCCGCAAATACCATTGTGGCAAGAATTCGGTTTTTTTCAAAAACGTGGAAAAAAGAAGGTGCGTGAATATGAAGACTTTTATGATAAGAAGCAAAATATGGGCAGGAAGGTTCACATCGAGATAATAAAACTTGATGAGAAACCACCACACACACACACACACACAAACGATGTTAAAATCCCGTCTAAAAGTCCAAAACCTCAGGGTAAACTCTTTTCTGATTCGGAATCTGAGTCCGAATGGTCTACGGATACGGAAGTTGATAAATAAATTTTTTAAATTACAAATCGCTTTTCCACGAGTGTGAATTAAGTTGCGTATTAAAACAAATTATTAACTATATTTTGCTAAAAGACAATAAAAAAAATATACACCTATTATAAAATATACAACTTTTCGGGTTTTTATATACATATTAAGCTTGTAATACGAAAATTTTGCTAAGATTAATTACATTGTGTTAAGCATTGAAGTAAATTGTTGGTTTTAGGTCACAAGTCGCCGTACTGTTACTTTGGCTAGTATACCTACAAGGTATTAGACACCGTATTTTACGGATCCCAATAGCTTGTTCTCAGAAATTTCGGTGAATTATACTTCTTTTACAATTCTAGACATCGGTAGAGACATGAGTGATATTTTGACAAATAAAAGGCAGTCATACTAAAGTCACTTACCATAATTGAACCAGAACCCAGAATACCATTAGGTTACAACATGATGATAGCCTATGTCTATAAATGGATAACCTTACTTCATCTTAACAGATCGAAAGAGTTGAGCACTTGTAGACAGACCAAACTCATTTTGCCGAAATCGTGAGTCAGCGGAGCGATAAAAGTGCTTAGCTATCAGCGAAGCATCCTAAGCAGGCTGACCTCACTAATTACTGTGTGTGGACATGGCAACTTTAAGTATCACATTAAAAAGATAACTCTTGCTAAGGAAGACACTTGCAGACTATGTCTAGAACAAAAGGAGACAGTGGGTTGGTGATGACTTCGCAGGCAGGTAACCTCAAGCAAGATAAGCTGGATAACGACATCCGAGAATAGAAGGACGAAAAAGACCCAAGTAGTTTCTTGATCTACTTCGGCTAATCCTTCACTTCAGTGGGGCCACTTGTTGGACGGTGCGCTGTCTCAACGTCCTACCACATATATATACCAAATTATTGAGGTATGCTTGTAGAGAGCCCGAAATAACATCTGTTGGCAAGAGTGACTCTTTCTTAAATTTCTAATCTGACGTCATTTTTACGCTGTTTGCTAGATAAACAAAGTCTTTTACAACTTCGAACTTATAATTGTCAACAGTTAGAACCCACATTGTTCCAAGATGCTAAGGAGATTTTTTTGTTGACAATAAGTACTTCGTTTTATCCTTATTTATATTGTATACAATATTGCATTTATTAATTATTTAACAATAATTGGATATCTCAGTATTTTTAAATTAATTTTTAAAAATAAAATTAACATTTAATTGAATTAATTTCTTCTGAAACAGCTCAGCAAGCAATTAAATAGTTCTCATATTTTTATTTCCATTTAAGTAGTATGAATATATGTACCCCTTATATTCCTTTTAAAATAAACTGAAGCATATAAAAGTCTTTCTTTAAACAATTCGTACGCATATTATAATCTTAGTCCTTCTTCAGTACTGTTAAGGTATAAGACCAATGCTATATATCTTAGTCATAAAATGAGTTTATTGATATATTCATATGGAGTAACTTGAAACAATCGTAAATTATTGCAATAAAAATCTCCTTAAGTCTTTTGAAACCAAACTATTCTGTTCATTTTTTCAAAACAATTTTACGATCTTGAAAAATAATAAAATTTTTTATACGCATAATTAATAATATAAAATTTAATTACATGCCAGCAAACCAAAAAAATTACTCAACTAAGATTTAAAAATATTAACTCATGATTTGTAAATTTACAATTTTATTATTTATGTAAATATCATTTAAAATTCAGCAATAAAATACTTATTAATAATATTTTAATTTCAGTTTCCAAGCCGCTATAATCGTTTATGGCTTAAAAATTCATAAAATTCTGTTTATTTTATTATGACTTATTTTTATATAGAAATATATAAAATAATTATTTTTAAAACAAATTGCTATTAAACAAATTTTTATATTTAGATTTATGACAAGAGAAAATTGTTGAGTCAGAGTTCAACATTTTGAGTTTTTATTTATATATAGCACTTGAGTTCTAATATACCACAATTCAATATTATTTAAACTGACTAATTACTAATATTTTATATATAAATATATATATATATATATATATATATATTCATATATATCACCTTGGCACAGCTAAGCATACAGTAATTTAGTGCAAGTGCAAGGGTTAAATTCGTACCCTGCCAAATTTTAAGCTCAGAGTCAATGCTCCTTAACTAACTGAACCAAAGCCGTACTTGACTTGTACGTTCTACTCTACTCTACTTTGTTAATTTAATGTTATATTGTGTTAAGCCTTTTCCGAGTTAATGCTTCTGGGTACTTTTACTCTATGATAGCTGGGGGGATTCTGCATAGTCCCGCCCATCTCACTGACTAATTTAAGTATTCCTGATAATCTTCATGATTATTCAATGATTGATCTAAGATCTACGTACCGCCCCATGCGGTTAGTGATTACTCTTAGATTAGATAGTGCTAAGTAGGGCAGCCTGTCGGTTAATTTTATAAATAATAAAATTTTTTGTTGTTGCGATTCATTACGATTTAAGATTTTTTTATAGATACACTATATAAAATAAAAATGATCAAATTTTATATAATTTTATATATTTAATTTTGAATGCAATTGTATAACCTTTATTAGAGTATCTGAAATTTTTATTATTTGTATCCACGTTGGCAGCAATTAAAAAAATGTATCTAAACTACTTTGTCGTTCTTTGAGAACATAATGATTCGATTCATAGAGTTCATTCTTCCCAATTAATAAA